TCAGAAATGTCTGATACATTTGTAAACACTTCCTGTCTCCCGCCGTTCATTCATATTTGTGTTGGTCTCTATTAAAACGGCAGGTACTCCAGTCAGGTGACGAATACTGTGCATACCTTGTGTATGTGTGTTGCTTCAGCTGGTGTTATTGTTTTGCGTGCGTTTACTAACGGTTTCCATGGTCCGGCTGTTTTCTTACTTATGCATGCAAGGCTTACTCTGTTGGGAGATCTGTATGCCTAATGACCCAGAGTATTTTTATTCTTTGTCTCATAAATGCAAATGTAAACGGGAAACTGAAGCACAGAATGGCACGTGCCATCCCATATAAGTACTAGTAGTGTTAAGTAGAAGACAACAAAGACGTCATTTTATGAATAACAGTTGAACATCTAACCTGATTAACAGTGGAACAGGAATAAGCTTGAGCTCTACGCGACTCCACTTTTGAAAATTGCAGCATCGACCGCAAGTGATTAAAAGGATAGAATAAAACTCCTGATGATGTTTTTAAATTTTTTGTTGATATTCTCAAAATGGTTGATCAGACTGTTAAATCAATTTCATTCGAAGAATCCGGGTACTGAAATCTACAATCCTCTGAAATCATATGAGAAGGACATTGTCAAGACAACATAACATGATGGCGTTCAGAGGATTGCAAATGATTATGAAAAACATCATTTCCATATCAATATCACAAGAAAATATAATACATTTTGGAAATCATAGTACTCGTAATAGCAGTTGCATTATAATTGCATTGCATTTCAGCTGCACAGTCGTTATGTTGCAATGGCACTAGACTAAGCAAGACAAAATCCAATTATACTTGTACGCAAGTTGAAGCCATTGAACAAAACATATGACGGTGCTGCCGCCGCCATCATGGCCTCATCATGGAAATGCCGAGGAAGATCCCAGGAAGGCGACCGGAACCCAGCACTCTACTTTCCCCCCGCCGAACGAAGAAATCATTTAGGTGCGGGAGCGAAGGGGATGGAGGCGAGTTGATACCGTCTGTGTTTGGCCGCTCGGGGATGGGGAGTGACACAGTACCATAATCATTGAAGGGAGAGGTGCCAGTCGTCGGTGTAATAGATACGACCTTTAAGGCTCCATGGAGCTGGACCACAAGTACGCCACTTAGCAGGATTGACGAGATGGCTGACATATTACACAAACAGTCTGGTGTGCGTACGTGCGTATGCGCAGGGCTTGGCGCGCCTCGCAAGCCCCTCCCCTCCGAGCTTACTCATCTCTTATCTCCCCTCCCTCCCTCCTCCTCCCCCCGGGCCTAGCTATTATTCACTTGTGTTGTAGTTCTATTGCAAATGAGAAATACATTTAATTGAGTGTTAAGAAGTCCGTCGTCCGGAACAGCGAACTTAGCGCTGAAGGCAAAATGCAATGCTAATCATCTCCAAAAAAGCGCTCGCTCGAGGCCACGAAAAGACCTAGGCAGATCGGATGTGCTTGGGAATGAAGGCATGGTCATCACACTATGAATGAACTCTTACTACTCTCTCCTCCTCCTCCCTCCCCCCCTTCTCTCTCTCCCTTTCACTCTCTCTATCTTTCTCTCTGTCTCCTCTCTCTCTCTCTCTCTCTCTCCTCTCTCTCTTCTCTCTCTCTCTCTCTCTCTCTCTCTCTCTCTCTCTCTTCTCTCTCTCTCC